GGGATTAGATATTAGAAAAAACTTTCTGTCCAGGAGGGAAATAAAACACTGGAACAGGTTACCCAGAGAGGTTGTGGGAACTCCATCTTTGGAGGATTTTAATACCCGGTTTGACAAAGCTGTGGCTAGAATGATCTAGTTGGGATGGCCCTGCTTTGAGCAGGGGGTTGGACTGGATGACCTCCTGAAGTCCGTCCCTTCCAACCCTAATTTTTTTTTATTCTAAGTTACCCTACAGAAAAGGTGCTGAGGGGATGGTAAGTACTCTCTCATCACTCTTGGGGACCTTGCCACTAGGAAAGAGTTGAACCAGTTAAGAGCACTGCTCCAAATACACGCCAGGTCATGTAAATGCATTATGAACACCTAATGATTAACTGTATCAAAAGCTACTGAAATACTGAAGCAGTTGAAACTGATCTATATATATCAGGCAAGACCATGCTTCCTCAATCCCAAATTCTATATTGGATTCAACGAATTGTTACGTGCAAAGGAGGTAGAAAACTCGTCACCGTGGACTGTGAATAACTCAATTTCCAGATTTACCACGGCATTCACTCCCAAAACAGTTCTGCTAGGTAACACTTTGCAGATACAACTGTAGTAGAGACGAAAGAGTCTCTCTGCTGCAGGCACTGCCATAGTACAGTCCTTTAAAAAGCAACTATGCTGCAATTAATTGGCTTTGGTATTAGTTGAGTTGCGCTTTAACTGCCTACTCTTCTGCTTCGGCCATCCCAGCTGGCCTGTATACCAGGGAGATCTGTGCCACTGCAGTGATGGGTCTGTATGCCTGTGTGCTGCCATATCTACAGCCAAGGTCAGCGTACTTATTCCACAGTTTGACCAGGCCATCAACAGAGTAGCTGTCACAGTCAGTGGGAATATCCCCCAGGGAGTTCTGGAATTCCACAGGCTCAGTGAGTCTGCAATCAAGAGAAGATAAAGTACATCTCAAGCAGCTCCTCTGCCCATCATCAGGGCTCATACGAGGGAGTTAAGTTTCACTAGTTAAGCATAGAAACAATCATTCTCTGGAATTAACGTATAAGCAATCACATCAGTATATCAAGCTTCAAAACCCGCTTGCCAAAGTTCTCAGAAGTTGCTTCTACAGGGGTCATAAATGGGGAGCTCCATGGCTTGATAATGGTAGAATCATCCATCTCTTGACCAGTTAGCAATATGCATGAAAATATATGCCCAAGTTTTAGCTCTAGGAATGCTTGGAGCCAAGGTTCTCTGGGAAATGCTTTTCCGATTCAGTGGGCAGGACAATTAATATGTGCATTTCTGCCTGTTTCATTACTGCAGAGAATCTTGAGGTGAAATCAAGCATAGTATAGTAACAATTATTTAACTGACTCCATTATATCCAAAATGGTTCTGATTCCGACAACTATGGTCAGCTGTGAGTGCACCACTCCACTTGTTCCTCCGTCACATCTCCTGCCTCAAGACAAAAATACAGTTCAACATTCCAGTCATCCTCTATTGCACCCAGCAGCATGGTGTTTGAATGGACTTTGGAAGATCCTGTTCAGTCCATGCTATCTGGTAACACAAAAGAATCTACAAGGAAAGTATCCATATCCAAATAGAGAAGAACTTGGACATGGTGAGACTGAGATTTGTTATACGTCTTCTACAGTCACCATGACCAAACATACCAGGTATCTCTTATCATTGAAATGTATGTTTCTCTTTGAATTGTCTGAGTATTCTTGGTATCTGTTGAAAGGTGAAGGACACTAGTAAATAATGAATAACCTCTTGCCCCCTGGACTACAAGTGGGACTTGGAAGGTTTTCCCCAGCAGCATTGAAACCAGCCCTGTTGTGGGATTTCAGCCTGGTACTCTCAGTCTTCAGCAAAAACTCTGTTTGAGCTGTACTACTTTACCTCTCCATAAAGGTAGCCTTGGCCATAGCCTTAGTATCAGCTAGGAGGCTGGAGGAACTGGGTGGTCTTATATCAGATCTGTCATGCTAAAAAAAAGTTTTCCCTTGAACAGCACTAGGAAATGACGTCTTAGAATAGGCTGAGTTTCCTATTAATCAAGTACTGCAGTTACCCATGTTCTTTCTCACACCTTGTACAGCTGCAAAGTGTTAAAATTATTCTAATATAATAAAGGGCTTAGTCCGTCTGTCTGTCTGTCCATAATACTCTTGGAGCACTTTGGTTACTGAAACAACCAGAGTGCTCCAAGAGCATTACGGACACGAGGTGGTGGCGGCGGCACAGCGGAGCGCCACCATAACGGCGGGGACAGAGCAGGGAGGCGAGTGCTCATTTGATAAGCTTTAGTTAAAGCGCCATCACCACCATTTTTAAGCACAGGAATACTGATACCCAAGATGCTGGAGTTTGCTGGAGCACGGTAATTGAGTCTGCTCCAGCAGATTCAATTAATTGAGCCTGCTCATGTATAGGCACCCTGTGAAATGAGGCAGTTTCCATTCAGAGACTCCCAAAGTGGCCCACTGTCCCTTTCCTGACAGAATAAGACACAACTTTACCAAAATACTGACAGGAATACATGTTGGGGCCTATTCTCTCTGTGTTCATACAGCTTCCTTTGTTTCCCTTAACGTCCCATCACTGATGTATAAGGCATCTGCATGGGTCTGTAGGCATGGTTTTGTTAAACATGCACTGGTACCAGAATCTATCTGCTTTGACTGCCTCTTTTGTAAAGCAGTGCTTTGATCTGTTCAACAGCCAAGTTATGAGCAGTCTCCTCCTTGGCATTGTATGCAGAACCTCTAGGTGGAATATGAACAGGGACAAGCACTGAAAGATGACAAAAGAGCCTTTTACCCGTAGTAACTGAAATTTTTTGAGCTATATTGTCTCCCTCTATTCCATGGCTTGACCTCCTTCCCCTCTGCTTTGCATTCCTAAGTAAATATGCTTAGGCATTCTGCCGAAGAAAAAGGAAGCAGAATGCTGGCTGGTCTGGTCCCTTGCCATCCTTTACACCTTCTGTGCAGTGCCTGAAGATAGATAGGTTGTATGCCTGAGCCGCACAGGTACTTCTAGCAAGAAAATCTCTGGTTTTGAGTCTAGGCAGCAACTGTGCATTCATAGTGAAAAAACATGGGGCGGCATGTCTTACAGAAGAACCCCACTTTACACCACTAGCACATACCTCATGTCTGAATCCAGAAATGTTGAATACTTGCAGCTCGTTCTAACTACAGTGGATCCACCTCTGAAAAATGGGCCACGGACTCAAGGGGCATTTATACACATACTCCAGGAGGTGAGGGGGAGAGATGGGGGGAATGACGGTCAGAGTGGCTCTCGGAGCGTCACATGTATCATTGTCCCCACACTGAAAAGTGGCGGTGAGAGCACTTTAACTAAAGATCTTCAAACCAGCTTTAGTTAAAGTGCCCTCGTTGCCATTTTTCAGCATGGGAACGCTGATACATGTGAAGCTGGAGCGCAGCAATTACCACACTCCATCAGACTCAATTAATTGAGTCTGCTCCAACGTACTTTAATTACAGTGCATTGGAGCAGCCTCAGTGCACATGTAAAGGCACCCAAGGTGCTGAACTCTAGGCATACAAGCATTTATTATTATAGCCCTGTTTTCCAACTGAAGATTTCTTTACCCTGGCTTGTCACCTTCTGTAGGGCCAGATCCAGATAAACTTGGTCCCACTGAGCAGAACCTTGATGCCCATGTAGTGTGTTAGGAGTGACCAGAAAGGTTTGTAGAGTCAGATGTTCTTCTATGTGAAGAAGGAGGTAGAAACCAGATGAGCAGTGTCCTACAGGACTTCTTTGGCTCCCAAAAAAAGGCAGCCTGACTTTGCTAGCACAGTAACATTTTTAAGTAGTATGCTTTTGAGCTGGTGGTGAAGAGCATATCCCCCATCTCTTTGAAGTGCAGCCATATTTCTTATCCTTTGCCTCCATGTAGCAGTCAGGGCCCTTTCAGAGCTGCCCTTTCTTTCTGTGGCTTGATGGTACCTGATACAGCTGCTTCTCTTTCTACAGCAATTAATGTGCTTTTGGACAAGTAAGGAATTAATCTTACTTGGCTGCAGTACTAGGCATAATTAAAAAGGCAAATATCCACTTTGCTGCAAGTCGTTCACCAGAAATTCATAGCACAACCTCAAAATCTGCCCTTCATTGCTAATCAGTCTCTTCCCAATATGTGGGTTTGTAGTGGAGACTCCACAGCTGGGAGGCTGTACATTTTAAATGTCCGTGTAAGAGCTCTGAACTTTGGTAGCTGGCAGATCAGTTCTGGAGTAGAATCCACACTTGTGGAGTCCATTCCCAGGCTTTGAATGGCTGGTGCCATCATAAGGAAGATTGGACTCTGGTCTGTGCTTAGGTCTACAAGGCACTATGACAATATATATGAATAAATAATATCCAGCAGGGTGGAGATCATGGTGCTCCTGGACTCTTGGCAGAGTCAGACTGCTTACACCTTGACTGTTCAGACGCAGTCACCTGGGAGAGAACTGTTCTCAATCCAGCTTCAGGAAAGCTTTTTTTTTTTCTTTTTTTTTTTATATGAGAGAGGAACTGTGGGTAGAAATCGGAAAGAGCCATTTCAGTTGTACAGTGAGCTAAACTATTTTTTTCATGTAGCTCAGAGCTCGTGATTTACACCAGCGCAGCTTACATTTCTATTAGAAGAAACACTGCTGCGCTGGGCACAGTACTCTTGCACTCCGTTTTACTTCCCTGTTCTTTCTCAGGGGGGAGAGAGAGATTCTTCAGATGTTTAAATAAGCAAGCCTGCTGTTTGAAAATAGAAGAAGAGACAGCTGGAGTTAGTTCTTTGCACTCAGGAAAGCTGTTTGTAGCCTAGGGTAAAATTCAGGCCAGTGTCAGGAAATAGGGGGTACAGTGGGACCCAGATGCTTCTCTCGAGTTCCAGTTTGTGCAGTAGTTTTGCAAAGCAGCTGCTTTTTTCCTTCTAAACAGTATGAAGTAAACAGTATCTTTCTACCCACCACCAGGTATTGAACAGAGCATTGAACAAGAAGAAGGACTGAATAGATCATCTGCTGACCTAAGGATAAGAAAAACTCAGGTGAGTCTGTCTCCAGCTGATTCTGGGTGTCGCAAGCATGGCATTTAATTAATTAATGACCATTATTGCATCCAAGAAAGTAACAGACGGTCTGCAGACACTCTGCACACAGCTCAGTAAGCACTGCACAGTTGGTTTGGCAGGGACTATAGAAAGTCAGCCATGTGACAGATTTTAAAGTGTCTACAAATATGCAAGCGTGCTTTGTGCCCTGCCAGTCAGCCATCCTGAACCCAGCACTTTTCTTGTGAATGTGCATGTGCTCTAGATGTAAATTGGTGAAGGCCTATGTATGTGTTGTTCCTATCATGGCCATGCACATCAGAGCTTCTTTGTGGGTAACTTGAAGGCACAGGTTTTGATCCATCCATTTATAATACCTGGCTTAAGAGGATGTTTTATTGGATAAAAAAAAGCAAACTACAAAAGTAATATGTAAGTTTTGGAGACAGCAAGGCCCCTTCTGCAACATGTCCTAAAACTTGTACCTACTTTGATTCTCTGCATGTTTTTAAAGAGCCTGGAAAGATGTTTTACATATTCATAAGTGATGACAGGACTTTATACTAATGCTTATATATGCTTCTGTATACTTGAATTATGTTTTGAACATATCCAGAAAGGATCATTAACTTCCAGTTTGTGTTCATTAGGCCATAACCTACAACTGGGACTTTGCAGTCTTCACGGGCCCTACAAGTCCTACTCTCAAGTACCGACTTGAGAAGTCAAAATACAGTAGTTGCTGCCCTCCAGTATAGTAGTGGATTGTAATGGGAACTAGCATGTTTTTACTTAATCTAATTCCTGAATTCTTTGATCTGTTGTGTAAGTGTTGTCTGCTTTCACTAGTTTCTTAACCTAGCAGTTTCACCCAGTAACTCCATTTCTGAAAAGTTATTCTCTGAGAATGCCTTGTCTTTATTAGCTGAAAAGAAGGTATTCGATATAGGTAGCTCACCAGTATTGTCTGGTGAACCCTGCAGTTTAATTGTGTATATATAAACATTGATTTGAACCTTGAAAATAGGCTGCAGATTGTCATAGCAGTCAGTGCATAAAGCAGGCCCTGGACTGTCTAACACTTGACCTGGAAGGTGAGGACAAGTAAACACTTGTTAATTAAATTTGCAGATATTGCCTTGAAGTGCTAAAAAAATGGCAGACAGAGAAACTGGAAGGGCTCTACCAGGGATTGCAAAAATTAGTAGAAAGTAACACAACAAAATTCCACCCTAGTAAACTGCAGAATCATAAACTGGACAAAATATTGTGAAGCATATGGAGGAACCTGTGAGTCAGTGATGCTGAAAGGATTTGGGACTAAGACGCAGGGAGCAGTGGGCATAGATGGATCTGACAGTTATATCTGTATTGACTAATACCACTATAATCTTTTTAGGACACAATTGTTATGTCTGCATGCTCCTCTGGCAATAAAAGTGAGCTAAATAATTATGTTTCCTTCCAGTTAACAGCTATAGCTATTTAGCATCTAGTAATTACAGTGTGTTGGAGCAGACTTGATTAATTGAGTCTGCTGGTGTGCTAATTAGCATGCTTCAGCCACCTCAGCATGTCGTGTATTCAGCATCCGCATGCTTCAAAATGGTGGCAAGAGTGCTTTACCTAAAACTTGTCTGAGGAGTAACAAAATGAAATTATGCAGAACATGTGAGTTAGCTGTTGAAGAGATGTGCACTTGTGGTAGTGGGATGTACTAGAATCCCCCCTCCCGAGAGGAAAGACAGAATACTAGTTGCTTTAATCACTTCACAAAGGTTTGGCGAAAGCTCTTGTTACTGCCCCAGGAAACAGCTAAGCATGTAGAACCAGAGTCAGCCTTAGGGAAAATGGTGCCCTGGGTGAACATATTTTCCTTCCCACCCACCCATCCCGCCCATTTCAGAAATAAAGCTGTAATCTCAGAAGTTTTTTTATAATTTACTTAAAAAAATACAAAAGAGGAAATGACACAAAATTCAATTCAATTCAATTTTAGTTAAATAATAAATTATAAAAGTCATAAAAAACATTATACGTAAGTGTCACACCACCACCACGTCAGCGAGCGACCTGGAGAGTCCCCAAAGCAAGCTCTCCTCCCCTCCCCTCAACTCCCCTGCCACATCTTGCTGTTAATAGTATCCTAAGGAGGGGTTCGGTAGTGTTTGTATGGAGGCCCCCGCTAGGGGTACTCATGGTCTGCTTGGGGCTCTGCCTCCTGTACACCCTGGCCACCCAGCAACTGTTGGTGTTGAGGCATTGAAGACACTTGCAGCACCTCCTGCCTTGCCCTTTTTAAATTCCCTGTGGTGGCGCCTGTGGCTGATGTGATCAGCTGGCCGCTGCCTAGGTTGATTGACAAAGAGCTTTTAAGTCACAGCGGTGGTGCCATGCATCGCCACGGCTCCAACATTCCCTGTCTTGAAGGTAAGTTTTCCTTTTTCCCCAGGACTCTCTGCTTGGCCCATTCAGGGTTGGCCAGGGATCCAGGGGTGCTCAGGGGGCATGTACGGTCCCCATCATCACATAACCTCCCCCTTAAGTCACCTTGTGGCATCTTCAAGACTACTGTCTTGCCTAACTTCACTTCATGTTCCCTCTGATAGGGTTCTAAGGCTTCCCTGGTCATTCTATCTTCCACGACACACCTGGAGAGGGAGTCAGTCAGTAAATTGTCCTTGCCAGGTCAACGTACTACAGTGAACTTAAAGGGCTGTAAAGCCAATGCCGAGAGAGTAATGTGCACATTGTCTATATGCAACTTTGTTAGCTATTGTAATGGCACGTGATCCATGACCACCATAAATTCGCAGTCTAATAGATAGTACCTGAAATAGTCTACAGCCCACCTTATAGCTAAACATTCTTTCTCTATTGTGGCATACCTGGTCTCTGCGGTATAAAGTTTGAGACTTGCAAATGCTACCGGTCTCTGGGTAGACTCTTGAGGTGCATCCCTAAGTAAGAATACTAACAGGATCAGTATTGTGTCCCATTTGTGGGTATCACTTTGCGTACTCATCTGAATCATCCTCTTCAGAGTGCTGTTCAGTCTTTCAGCTAACCCATTGATTTGTGGGTGGTACACAGACATTCTAAGATGGGTAATCCCCAACGTGCTATACATTGCCTTCATCACCCCAGACATGAAATTAGTCCCTTGATCTGTCAAAATTTCATGAGGGATACCCACTCGTGTGATCCACTTGAGCAGTTTTTCTGCCACCTGAGGAGCCATAATCAACCCAAGTGGCATGGCCTCTGGGAAGCGGGTGGGATGGTCTATAAGCACGAGGATGTACTGATGTCCTGTGCTGGTTTTTGGTAATGGTCCCACAATATCAAGTGCTACCTGAGAAAAGGGAGTTTGTTTCTATTATAGGCATCAGCTGCAAGAAAGCCTTTGGAGGTCTTGGGTCTTTTGACATTTGGGGCATGTGACTCCCCACCGATCTACTTCCTCCTGCAAGCATGGCCAAAAAAAGGTCTAAGTGATCCTTGCCCTAGTTTTACTCCCTCCTAGAATGCATGTCATTGTAAGCAGCTCGGCCCAGTGGACCCCAGTTCTTGGTGCAAGATCTACTCAAGTAAGGGACTGGGAGTACCTGGTATCTAGTGTAGCAGTCACCAGATGATCCCAAGCGGTAACAACAGGACATTCCCACCCTCCTGTTTGAGTCATATCACCAAAACTACAGTTCACAGGTTCCCCACAATCCTCCTCTGGTCCTATCTCTAAATGACTGGGTAGATGTAACAGACCTCCTCAAGACACTTAGGCCAAGGTGACATTCCTTGGCCATATGGCCTATCTTGCCACAGCGATAGCACACCATCCCACATGATGTTATCTTCTATGTTCCTTGCTT